CTTACGCATAAAAAATACACAAAAATGATATTTTTAAATTAGAAAAAATAATAATTTTTAGTTTTTTATAATGATTTAACTATTTAAGTATCTTTCAATTATTAGTTAGTAATTATCTCAAAAACAAGATCTGTTAGCAAAAATCTGAAGCTATATTCGAAATTTTTTACAAAATTTAATATTGTAAATAGCAAAATGGCTGTGTAGTTCAATGTAATATTCTATGTAGTTCTACTGATAAAATTTCTGTTTCTAAAAATAAAATGTTTTATTGTTTCAAAAGTTTTGTAAGTAATAATTTATCAGGCTAAAATTAGGTAAAAGTGGATAAGGATAACACGAATAATATGTTATAAGGTTTTCATTTTTCTTTAGGATATATTAACGTTGAAAAAATGTGGACACATGTTCATTATTCACACCTAAAAGATTTCATTCAAAAATAGATGTTTTTAAGACAATTTATAAACAATTCACATTGTCACTTAAAGCTTCCGAGAAAAACCCAATTTTTAAAGACATAAACTAGACAATAAAATTTCGTGGTATATATTTGTTTTTTATCGAACAAACATAACATTTCTTTCCATTTAAAGCTTACTGTTTATCTTTAATTTTTGTAACACATTATTTTTAGTTACAACGATATAAACCTTTCATTGCGATCTACGGCAACAGACCGAAGCTGCCCAAATAGGAGTGAAATTTACACCGGACATATATAAATTATGACAGATGGATACGTTTTGTCATTATACATATCCAATCATATAATATATTATGCTCATTTTTTATTCAAATCACACCCTTCAGATTTGATATTTTGGTTTTTTTTTTCGTATTTATTTCCGTTTCCTTGTTATTTGGCTATGTTATATTAAACAAATTCGAGGTGAGATACTTTTTACGAGCATCATTTTATTTTACGCGCATATTGTGTATGTACAAAGGGTTTAGCACCCAATTTAATGAGCTCTGTCAGTTTCATTCTACTCCATTTTACTACCCGTTGGCAGGGGTATCCGTTTTAATTATTTGTTTAATCGATTTTTATGGACTGTGGGTGTAAATTTACAGAATATTAATAAAATCACAATGGAAATAGTTGATTTTTTTTTTATTTCAAAATATACCTTTGAAATAAATATCTCATATAAATAAATACCACTTTAGAATAATTTGCTATTATTACATTTCATTTTTACTTGTATATTTTTATGAATATCGTTAACTTTTAATTATCTAACTTAAAACAACAGGTTTCAGGATATTCATTTAGTTTTCATCGATTTTATGCAAATTAAATCTGTACATCGCTTTATGTAATCTACTAGCACTTCTTACACATTGCCAATATTATATGTAAGTCTTAAAGTACTTAGTACTTACTTTACAAAATAAGTTGTAAAGGAAATTTCAGTAAAAATAGTATATAAGAAGTTCAGTAAATAAGGAAATATATTTCTATTGTTCTCATTGTTTGTAACAATTGACCTATTTCCTTACTTATTAAACACCTTGTATATATTATACATTAAACTAAAAATGAGTTTATTCACTGATTTTGAACTTTCATTATTAGTTATAGAAATAAATTATGTAGCATCAATTTCAATTCTTCATAAAAAAATGTATATTATTGTATCTATAGATTAAACAAATAACAATGTTTCAATGTTTTTAAAAGTGATATAATAAATTATTAATACACAATTAAGGATTTAATAGTTGTACGTTTTATATATAATTACGTTTACAGATAATTTCAAAATATTTCTGCCTATAGAATAATTTCAAGATAATTTAAATTTCCAGAGTGACCTGAATAGACCAATTAAATAGTGTAATACTAATAGATTAGCTATTAATTTTACATTAATATAAATTAAAAAATATTATATTTAGTCGCCAAAAACCGGCTTATAATTTTATAATATAATTAACAACATTTCCATTGAAACAAGAAATTTGATTGGTTACTTAGAAGTTATGATATCTTCAGACTTTTCTTTCAAAGTATATTTTAATTTATATAAAACCTCGAGAGGCTTAGGATTTTTAAAGAGAAACTGTTGGGATTTTTCCAACATTCTTTATTTAAAATTGCTATATATTCTTTTAAAAGATCAGTATTAGAATTTGTTTCTGTTCTAAGGAATTAGGTTCATTAAATAAATTAGAAAAAATTCTAAATATATTTTTAAATATGATGAGATTTAAGTTGATCGATGCACCTCTATCTGAAGTAAAACTGATAAGAGTATTTTTTGATATAATGTTTCTATTAAACATTTTTAATAATCAAATTGATTGAGTTATATTATTCATCATAATAAACTATTCTGAGTAGAAGTATGCTCCCAAAATTATGTTAGGTTTAGTCTGCTGTTCCGTATATTGTTACCAGATTGTAATAATTTTCCTAATTTTGATTTTGACTACTCGGACCGATATATTATTGATCTATTTGTTGATTAGTAAACAAATCAACCATTGAAGACAATAATTATAATAGCTACACTCCATATTATTGCCACTTTATAATCAAAAGGTTCTATGCATATTTTTACTTATTTTATAAGAAACGTTAAATTTAAAGTGATATATATATATATATATTTGACTGAAGTTGGAAACCTTAAAAAGCCACAGAAATGCAAAATCATTAAAACTGTATATAAATTATTGACATATTAATGAATGTACCAGGAATGAGTGATAATTCGTGAAGCTAACATGCTGTAAAAGGATTTACCAAACACATTTAATGTGTCATCATATTATTTTACGATATTGCACACCCATATATGTTATAAGCTTATAAGCAAAATAAGCAATTCTTAAGTTTTTATTCTATCCAAAATTATCTTTTGATGCAACACATGTTGGCTTAAATATAATACGAGTGCAGGAGAAGGTATATACTGTGTGATTTATTAATAATACTACACCCATTTTTCATTAAATAATCATTTTTTCATAAAAATTTATCGATTAAAATTTAGTTTATTTTTATCAACTATATTAAATATTATGCTTATTGTAGGAAAGAATTATTTTAAATGGTAGATTTTTGAGGTAACTTTAGAAAGTTAAATAGAAGCCTATTATTATTTTCATATAATTTGACGGACCGGATTAAATAAAATTTAGTCTATTCGATAACTAGTTTTGTACTATTACTTTTTATGTTAATATAATTTTTAGTTATAAGTGAGAGGGATGTACAATGTTAAAAAATTCTTAACTCTATGTCATAATAAAAATAGAATATGTTTTAGCACTACGCCATTTCTCAACTTTTCTAATTATTTAAATGCTAATATTTCAAAATGTAATACTACAAAAACTGGTTGTTAATTAGTCAACATTTTATTTAGACTATTCTTCATTTAACAGTAAAAAAAAAATATTCCCATTTATCTTTTAAAAGTGCTCCTAAAATCTACCATTAAAAATAGTTTTTCTTACATTCATTTAATATCAACTATGATTCATAAAATAAATTAACTTTAAATGTGTATATTTTTATAAAGAAATCATTATTTGATGAAAAAATGGGCGTAGTATTCTCAATATATCATGCCGTATACCTTTTGCAGTAGTGATATCACTTCTGATCTATTAATTTGTTTGTCTATGGTCTAAACTTTAATCTCAAGTGATCACGTATAAATACTATGGGATTGGTGTTAAATTCCACAAAGATTATTTTTATACTAGTTATAATGAAAAGTTCGAAGTAACAGATTTATTCGAAAAATTGTAAAATAGCTGACATCCAATTGTTATGTCATAACAATCCACCAAGTATTTAACTTTATTCAGTTAAATTAAATTGTTGATGTGCGTGAATAATTAAGTAAATTTCAAATGTTCGTTTTAAATATTTGCTTCCAGCATAATTCAAAGGGTAGCAAAAATTTCTTTGTGATTATTTCGCATTTCCTCGAAGTGATATTTTAATTACGCTACTAACTTCTGAAATACTTGAAGTATTTTTTTTTAATATTATTGTATTTGAAAATTTGTCATCGTCTATATTAAAGAACAAGTCAAGTAAATAAAAATAACCGAGGTTGTGATTAATAAAAATTTTTTCTTAAATTGTACGGCAGATATTTTATTTTGATGAATTGTTACACTTATGTGTTTGGTTATCTTTATTAGTTAAAGCAAAGTATACAACATAGAAAATTTACAAAGAAAATATATTTACAATCACATCTTTTATTTACAATTACCCCACTTGACCCTGTTTCATCATATTTAATCTATTGACCATATTGTATTATGCACTTGAATTTAAGAAATAATATATTGTAGAAGATATGTTTTGACCTAGTTTTCCCTTTCTGTAATAGGTGGATGAAAGTACACAGTTATCACAATTAAGTAAAATGAGTTTCTGTGAATTGAAAAATCATATTATTTAACAATATTACGTAGTTAATATTTTTATTTTCGAGCAAATAATTTTTAATGCTGTTTGTCAATCTACCATCTTGCTTTTAGTTTCATTATCAGTATCGTTTTGTAATAACACGTTTAATTCTTAATAATTGTATTAATTTTCAAACACTGCAAATAAGCATTTGTAATCACAAAAAAAAAAAAATAGGATAATTGGTTAACTTTTATTCGAAATACACTATTTTTGTAACTTAGTTTGATCGAATTATATGAAGCTAAATTGAAAGATTTGGAAATGGTTACTATTTTACTTATTAGCCAATTCAGAACCATTTTAAAATAATTTAAAAATAACTTAAAGTATAACAAAAACATGTTAAAAAGTAATGTTATTGTCTTTTGAGTATATTTTGAAGAACAGACCCGAGAATATTCTCAAAAAGGATTATTACAGTAAATTAACATCAATAGTTTTAGGAACAATAATTATATATATATAATTTTTTTTTACATATTTATTTGCTGTTGATACTTATGTAAACAATTAACTAAATAGCAGTTACAAATATAAAAATTGAATTCCTTACCTTCATCGCCTAAAGGGCCATTTCTGTCATGTTTGTTTGAGTGACTAGCTCCCATTACAATTTTTGTAACATACAATTATTTTCTGAAAAAAAAATTTATGAATTAAAAAAGATAATGACCTCAGTTGTGTATATATCGTTAAATTAATCATAGAAATGATTATTTTATTGTAAAATAAAATACTGCAGTATTTGTAGTGATATCGTTGTTTCCTTATTGTTATAGTTTTCGATAGTCTATAGTATTTAGCTATTTTATTTGTTGTGTCTTTTATAATAATTATAATATCGCATTTAAATAAAAATTCCTCAGTCATAAAATTAGTTGTAACTCGAAGAGATTCTTTGTTAAATCAAATATTGCTAACCTTGAAAATGAGTAAGAAGTTGAACACAAATTAAGAAAATATTTCTTGTCTCAATAATGTTTTTACTGGAATTACAAGTTCACCAAAATTATTAGAAAAGACGATAAAACCTAAAATTACTATTCTAGGTGATAAAATACATCTATTAATTTGTAGGACATTATTAATGAGACAAATAAAGAATTAGAAAATCTTAAAATATTATAATTTATAATATGTCCGAATCAAGTAATGGTGGTATAAATGATATCATTTTTACTACCAAACAGTTAATATCTGGTTTGAACCTTTAAGTTGTTATAAATCGCGCTAAAAGGCTTATTACTAACCGTGTTTTTAAAAATGTGGATTAATAGTGTTGGATACACATCGTTTGAATGCACTGTCGAGAAATTGTGTTGTGGTTATTTATGGTATCAGTGTGCTACACCGAGTTTTTATTCACCTTATTCCTTTTCCTCGACACAGTCTGACTTAAGACAAAATAAAACAACAAACGTTATCGAACCCGCGTGAGTACCACCGGGTGCTGCGTTCATTCAAATAGTGATTTTAATTTTACGCCAAAGAAATATTATGAAATATTTGTGTTATAATTAGCTTCGAAATATAATTGGAAGAATCAAACTACATAATCAATTATACTAATGGAATTCCTTCTCTGGTACAAAAAACTAATTTTAAATTTAAATTATAATTATAATAATTTTTGTATAAAATGTAAAAAAAAATGTTGTGTATGTGTTTTCTGGTATTTGACTAAATGTCCGTGGTTTAAATACACAACTAAATGAACTTATTTGTAATGATTCACTATATGGAACTGATTATTTTATTTTTACTAAGACCTGGTTAAATAATTTTATTCTTTATAGTGAACTTGGATTTGATAATTTTAATGTATATTGTATTGAATGGAGTAGTAAAACTTGATTCCTAGAGGAAGAGGAATCAATTTTAGAGGGGTGGTATGGCTACCTGTGCTCATTAATATTTTATTTTTAAAGAACTTAGTATCCTAATGGATATCATTGAACAAATTTTTGTACTTGTCTACAATGGTAGGGGTAAAATTGACTTAATATTAGTTGCCTGTTACATTTCTCCAATTAGTTCAATTAATGTTTATGCTGTTCACGTCAAAGCTGTTGAATTTATTATGTTAAAATATGACTTAAACAATAATTAAAATAACGGGTGATTATAATTTGTTGAATGTAAATTTTTATAAAAATAAACAGGGTTTAATTTATTATGGTTCACGGTGTTGTTACGCTGGTATTATTTTTGAATGTTTTTCTTTGCATAATTTTATCAAGTAAACTATACAAAAAATGTTTAGAGTTTTAGATTAGACTTGGCTTTTATGAATTATAATTTTATAGCAATAAATGAATCATTAGTTAATTAAGTGTCGATAGATAATCATTACTTTTTTATGTATATATTAACACTATTGAGCATAAATGCGCTACAAATTGGTTTTATACCTAGTAATGTGATTATTATGAAACAATGCCAATAGCCTTACCTATTTCAGATTGATCTCGAGTATAATGCAGTGATAATGTCAATATTATTAAAGACAAATTTAATAAAATCATATATTGTAATATTGATTGCTATATTCCAAAAATTTTCTAATATAAGTCTTCTTTTTCAAAATATTTTACTCTTAAGCTCCGATTTTATATAAAAAAAAAAGAAAGTTTTCCTAAGGAATACAAAAAAACTATTGTTAATTTAATTGATAATGCATTTTTTAAATTAAGAGTATTCTTAATAATTCTGATTATATAAGTCATGCTGAGAAAAATTTAAAAAATAATTCTAATTTTTTTTTCACTATATTAACGAGAAAAAATTCGTTACCAATCTCTATGACTTGTGGTAATTATATTTAAGAAATTAAGCACTATGAGGATTATAACAATATTATTCATTTATTATTATGAATAATTATTATTCAAATATCTAAGCTGTTCAGCGACTATTTTTCATTCACTTGCCATTTATCAATATCCTCTCAATATATTCTACTAATAAAGACTTTTCATTGTTAAATTTTTCTTCTTATTTTATTTCTGTTACTGAAGTATTTGATTCCTTTCAAAAATCTAAAGCTGATTCTAAATGTAGTGCAGATCTCATCTCCCCAGCATTGTATATCTATCCCATATATACCCTTTAACTTATCGAATATTTTTTCTTTATCATTTTCAATTGGAATTTTCAATCCATTTATATGAATGAATAATTTTATATTTCCAATTTATAAATCTAGATATCGGAAATTATCATCCTTATCTAAATTATGTGTATCGTATAAATGTGTATAAAAGACTGCTGAGCCGAATTTTTCTATTGTTTTTAAAAATGTACTTCATAGTTTACAGTATTTTTTTGATCATCTAAATCTTCCAAAACTAATCTATTTGTGATTTATTTTGATATAATGTCCTCAATTTCTAGTGGGATATAATTAATGAGATTTATGCCGAATTGAAAAAAACATTTGATTCGGTTGATTACTCAATAATTATTAATAAAATAAGCACGATAAACTTTGTAAGTCTATATTAAGTTGGATTAACATATATCATACTGATAGAACACAATTAGTAATAATTGGTGTTGCCCTCTCTATATATAGTAATATATGTTTCATTAGGGTGGTCCTTATTTTTTCGAATTTCGAAATTTCTTTCGGGGCACCCCTCCATTTTTTTCTTTAGTATAAAAAAATAATATTCTGAAAATTTAAAATCATTTGGAAAAATTTAAATCGAGGCGCACAGCATTTTAAGGTTTTGACATCGAATTTTCGAAGAATATTCTATAAAACGATAAAAAAAACTTATATTAGAGATTTTCAAGTGATTTTTTCAATAAAAGTCAAGATACAAAAAAAAAAAATCTTAGTTAAAGACAAATATTTTGATATATTATTTTTAAAAATTTATTGAATTTTTTACATGCGATAACAATACATTGGTAATTTAAAAATAATTAAACAGCTTATTTTTTATACTTCGTTACTTTAATAGTTTCAACGCTCCATTATAACCTTTTCAAATGTTTGTACTGACTTGAATATAAATTAATTAAGTTATTAAGTTGAATTTTATAGCACTGAACTAGTATTAGTTGAAATAAATCATAAAAAATGAAATAAAATTTAAAAATAGCTTTAAATAAAAAAAAAAAATTTTGCTCTATTAAATTTGTTTATCTTTAATTTTATATATCTTTTTGTTTTTTTTTTAAATTTAATTATTTGATTATTTATAGTATTTTTTTAATACCACGAGTGACTTTTCTTTAAATCAATTTTAGTTTTATAATATTCAATCAACACATGACCATTTTCGCATTTAATCATAGACAAGATCGATAAATGTTTATCTTATCTTGTGTTGTATTAGTCTAAAATCTATAATTGTAGAGGTTTACCTATAACCATGACATGTTAAATGTAATATTTTAAAATATTCATCATTCAAGTCGAATTTTATTCTATATAGTACAGCAAGCTACTGTGTCAATCCATGCCAAATCATCCAGAAGTGGTTGCATGACCACTTCATATTTTGCTTAATTTTTCAGGGTTTATTATTTATGCTATAATTAGATTAAAACAATTTTTTTTTTTTATGACCTTCGATTTTTATGGCTATTTCAATGTAAAAAATGTTAAAAATAGCCAGAACGTTAAAAAACACACAGATTATTCAATATTAACTCAATAGACTTAAAATTTTAGGATTGACCTTATTATAACTTAAAGTTAACATTAAAAATAAAAAAAAAAATAAAAATTTATGTGAAATTTCGAAAATTAGTGATTTTTAAATTTGTAATTTTTTTGGAGGTTTCCCCCATTTACGGGGAACAAGGGAAATATTTTCAATTTTTGATGGTAATGTCTTTGACTAGATACGATTTGTGATCTTTTGACGTATCGTTAAAAAAATCCGTTCGGTGAGAGCTGAGAAAAGTGGTAACAGACACAAAAAAAAAAACACATCATAGTAAAATTAATAACTTCTCAGCTTTGTATCGAAGCTAAAATATCCACAATATAACCTATAAAACCTATACACAATTTAGTTGAAACATAGATTATATACTATACAATACCACATTTGAAAATCACTATAAAATAATAACTTCTTAATGGTTTAGGTGAGCTCAAAAACGCCAATTTTCTTAAAAAAAGCACCATTTTTAGAAAGTCATTTAAGTTTGAAATTTCACATAAATTTTTTTTTTTTTTTTTATGTTAACTTTAAGTTATAATAAGGTCAATCCTAAAATTTTAAGTCGATTGAGTTAATATTGAATAATCTGTGTGTTTTTTAACGTTCTGGCTATTTTTAACATTTTTTACATTGAAATAGCCATAAAAATCGAAGGTCATAAAAAAAAAAAATTGTTTTAATCTAATTATAGCATAAATAATAAACCCTGAAAAATTAAGCAAAATATGAAGTGGTCATGCAACCACTTCTGGATGATTTGGCATGGATTGACACAGTAGCTTGCTGTACTATATAGAATAAAATTCGACTTGAATGATGAATATTTTAAAATATTACATTTAACATGTCATGGTTATAGGTAAACCTCTACAATTATAGATTTTAGACTAATACAACACAAGATAAGATAAACATTTATCGATCTTGTCTATGATTAAATGCGAAAATGGTCAT